TATTAAATCTTTATTGTTCAGATTACTACAGTTGTTCCTCTTTTTCCCCCCCATAGCTCCCCTACAACTGGTTCCCACCCCACCCTCCGCCCCCCCCTTTCCCTTTCCCCCCCAAGAATAGTCAGTCCATTCCCTTTCTATGTCCCTGATTCATTATAATCACCAGTTCATTCTGTACATCAGATTATTTATTCACTTGGTTCTTAGATTCACTTGTTGATAGATGCATGTTTGTTGTTCACAATTTGTATCTTTACCTTTTTCTTCTTCCTCTTCTTAAAGGATACCTTTCAGCATTTCGTATAATACTGGTTTAGTGGTGATGAACTCCTTTAGCTTTTCCTTATCTGTGAAGCTCTTTATCTGACCTTCAATTCTGAATGATAGCTTTGCTGGATAAAGTAATCTTGGTTGTAGGTTCTTGGTATTCATCACTTTGAATATTTCTTGCCATTCCCTTCTGGCCTGCCAAGTTTCTGTTGAGAAATCAGCTGACAGTCGTATGGGTATTCCCTTGTAGGTAATTGAGTCTCTTTCTCTTGCTGCTTTTAAGATTCTCTCTTTGTCTTTTGCTCTTGGCATTTTAATTATGATGTGTCTTGGTGTGGTCCTCTTTGGATTCCTTTTGTTTGGGGTTCTCTGCGCTTCTTGGACCTGTAAGTCCATTTCTTTCACCAGGTGGGGGAAGTTTTCTGCCATTATTTCTTCAAATAGGTTTTCAATATCTTGCTGTCTCTCATCTTCTGGCACCCCAATTATTCTGATGTTTGTACGCTTGAAGCTGTCCCAGAGGCTCCTTACACTATCTTCGTATTTTCGGATTCTTTTTTCATTTTGCTTTTCCGGTTGGGTGTTTTTTGCTTCTTCGCATTTCAAATCTTTGGCTTGATTCTTGTGCTCCTCTGGTCTGCTATTGGGTGTCTGTATAATATTCTTTATTTCAGTCCGTGTATGCTTAATTTCTAGTTGGTTCTTTATCATAGCATCGAGGGTCTCATTAGTTTTCGTGACTCTCTCCTCAAGTTTATTGACAGCTTCTAGCACATTTTTGCAAGCCCTCAAAATTGCGATTTTTAGCTCTATATCCTCCATTTCTGTCATGTTTTTTTGTCTCCGCATTTTTTATGCTTTCTTGGTGCACCCTCTAGTGGTCTTTGTGCGCAGTCTTGTTCTAGTTGAGCCTTGATTGTTGTAGTTAATACTAGAGGGATTTGACCACCAGGCCGACTGGCTGTGTGAATCAGCTGTGTCTGCCGCGGAAAACTTCTGTCCTCTGGGGAGGTGCTAATCTAGCCTTTGCCTGAGGCGATCCGGCAAATGGCTCTGCGCAGGGCTTGGGCGGGGCGGGCTCAACAGGGCGGGCGGAGGGAGCCGTTATGGTGCCCTCAGTCCTGTTCCCAGAGGCTCTGCTTCTCAGAACCCCCGGAACCGCTGCAAACCTCGGAGGGAAAGCTGCCTTCCAACTGATGCCAGACACTCCCGCTTCTCCCGTTTGGGTCCGAGTCCCCAGCGATTCGCCCGTATCTGGAGCTCAGAGTCTGAGACTCCCCCCTGACCGAAAACGACAACCGCGCTCTCAGCCACCAGCCCGCTTTGCGCGCGCACCTCCGCACCTGAGTATTTTCCACACTGCGCCTCCTCTGAGCCTCGGTGTGCTGTTATTTTTCCTTCTAGTTGAAGAGTCTCTCCTCAGCCAGCCTTCCTGTGGTTCTGGGTGATGTCCGTTCCGTCTTTTAGTTGTATTTTTGAAGTGGTTGTTTGCGGCAGCAGTCTCCGGTGTTTACCTATGCCGCCATCTTGCTCGGACTGTTGTACTGTTGATATTTGGCTCTGTTGACTAATGAGTTTGCCAACCACATTATTCTAGGACAATGTTAATCCAACCAGAGAATCCAGGTGACAACCAGAATTAAACTGAAATCTCTTAGGCACTCTTCTTTCTGGATGCTTTGCCTCCCAGAGGGTTAGCAACGAGACAGGATCCCAAGTTGTCAAAATATGACCATATAACTCCTAACACCTTTTGTTCTGATCATTACCCAGGGAGCAGCTGAAAGGAGATGATTCCTTTCTGGGGACAACCATATTCATGGATTAAACTGCCTTACTAAAGAGCATGTATGGAGCAGGAGAGGGTGAGAGAGGCAGAGTCTGAAATCCTTTTGAGTTCCTTTTAGAGGAGGCCATTCCAATACTCAACAATACCACATGCCAGTGGATGGGAGAGAGTGTGGAAGTCCATCAAATACCTTAACTATCAGCCCATTGTTACATGGCTTGTGCAATGAAAGGTGTTCCATTTTTAGGCTACAAATAGTCCAGAAAGCTGAAAACTTGATACAGGTTAGTTCCAAGATCCACAGTTGTGTGGCTGGAGTGGGCTGAGCAGACTGAAACAGCAATATTTTAACCTGAAAACATATAAACAATGATGCAAATCAGAGAGGGGCTTGAAGTGTGATGTAGTCAGTTGGCCAGGAGCAGGTGGGCCACACTTCATGCTGTGTGCACTTTCTCATCACAACGGGTCATCTTGTGGAAGGAGTCACAGATTTGGTATATCGTGGTAGCTTCTGCATCAGAAAAGCGGTGTTTTCATTTGTGCCCAGTCTGTGAGGATACATGTGTTGCCATGTCAAATGTGATGGTGGATCCAGAAAGCAATGGCAATAATCTGGGCAGTGAGGGCTCAGAGCATTCAGCCATCAAAACTCTTTGAAGAGGTGAAGAGGGTAACTTACAGATCTCAATCGTACAAGAGGGCTTCTTGAAAGCTTAAGAGTATTGTTCGTCATTCCTTTCAGCAGGAGTCCAAGGTAGAGAATGGCTCGTCTCAAAGAGATTTATGGCTGAAGCTTTTGTCTGATGGAGTAAACCCAATGAGATTCACAGACAAACCATAAAATATTACAGCAAACTGTATCAGCAGAAACACTGTCACCTTAGAGTGAAAGGGATAGAGACTACACAAATGAAAGGAAGACATTGGATTTCCAAAATTCTACTGGCAGGAAGCAGGCTGAGAAAACTCTTCTGCTAACCTTTCCTGTAAAAGGAAGTATGACTTAGAAGGTGGGAACAAGAACCAAGAGAGCAGAACCAAAAGCCATGAAGAGTTATTCTTAGGCCTTGAGACCTAATTATTGAACTGCTAGCTTTGCCCAGCCAGATAACACTTATTTTCTTTAGCATTTAAAAAGTATCATTTAAATCACTGTTTCCATGTATATAATATGTCATTTTGTTTTGTTTTCTGGCTGTTTTCAAAAACTTTTATTCTTTGGTTTTTAAAAGTTTGACTACAATGTGCCTAGGTATGGTTTTCTGTGGATTATTCTGCTTGGGGTTTGCCAGATTTCTTGAATCTGTAAATGTATGTCTTTTGCCAAATTTGGGAAGTTTCTGCCCATAGGAATATTTATTTATTTATTCTCTAAAGTTTTACATGTCTCCTTTTCCCCCTGATTGTCTCTCCCCCCAGCCATTCCCACCCCGGGCAAGCCCCAACTGCCCCAGTGTCTGTGTCCATTGGTTATGCTAATATGCATGCATACAAGTCCTTTGGTTGCTCTCTAACCCTTCTTCCCCTACCATTTGTCTCTGGATCTATTCTTGTTCATCAAATTATGTTGATTATTATATCCCACATATGAGTGAGATAATGTGATATTTATCTTTCTCCGACTGGCTTATTTCGCTTAGCATAATGCTCTCCAGTTCCATCCATGCTGTTGCAAATGGTAAAAGTTCCTTCTTTTTTACAGCGGCGTAGTATTCCATTGTGTAGATGTATCACTGTTTTTTAATCCACTCATCTGCTGATGCTGCCCATTATTTTTAAAAACATCTTTTTCTGTCCCCTTTCTTCTGGACCTCAAATTACATGTATATTAGATCTTTTGATTTGTATTACCCATCCCTAAGACTATAATTTTGTTTACTTTTTCCAAGAATTTTCTCTCTACTTTTCAGATTGGTTAACTTCTGTTGGTCTGTCTTACATTCATTAACTCTTTCTTTTGTTATGTTATCTACATTCTGTTGGTAAGTCCATCCAGGGAATTTTTTAAGTTTCGGATTGCATTTTTCAGTTCTAGACTTTTCAGTTAGTTACTTTTTTATAGTTCCCATTCTTCAGTTGAACTATCCTATTATTTATTATGAACATAGTTGTCCTTATGTTCTTGAGCATATTTATACACAACTAGTTCAAAGTCTAATTTTGGCATTTGGATCATCTCAGGGTCAGTCTCTGCTTTTACTCTTGAATCTCTTCTCTTTCTCTTGATACCTTTCTCTTTCTTTCTATGTTATTTTGGATTGTATTTTGGTTGTTGTAAATCATGTATTGTAGAAATTTTTGATTCTATTTAGTTCCCTTAAAGATTGCTGCTTTTTTGTTTTGTTTTGTTTAGTAAGCACTTGACTCGTGGCTGGACTCAAAGTGGAAACTATCTTCTCTGTAGTGTGTGATAGCTCAGATTTTAGTTCATTTAAGTGGTTAAGCAGATATTTGGGCTGAGTTCTTATACAGAATTTAGGCACTCCTCTCCGTCCGGATTTCCCCCTGACTTTCCAGTGGTCGTTATGATTGCAAAACACTCCTTTGATTTTTTAAGTCAATAAGAGTGAAGGTTTTAAAAATTGGAATTTTAGTTACCTTGCATGACTGACTGAGCCTATTTACAAACTAAAAGCTGTAAAAATAGTAAACACATCCCGTGTCATCCCTTCTTGCATTAACTCTCTTCCAGTAGATGCCTAACTTAGGTTGCTCTTCAGTATCTTTCAGATACTGGTTTTTTATATTTTGTTCAGAGCTTATAGTTGTTATCTGTATGAGTTTTGGCCTAATAAAAGCAATTTATTCATACAGAAATTTAGGATTTGATGTTTGTAGTTTACATAACATTCTATATAACTAGGTATTTAATAGGCATTGAAACTTATTTTCTATCTTTTCCCTATCCCCCAGTGCTGACCTTGTCACCTTGAACAAGCTTGTGTTGTTACAGGTCTCAGTGTCACTTGAGGATGTGACTGTGGACTTCAGCAGGGAGGAGTGGCAGCAATTGAACTCTACTCAGAGACGCCTGTACCAGGAGGTGATGCTGGAGAACTACAGCCACCTGCTCTCAGTGGGTAAGCACTGATACCCCGTGAAACCAGTGAGGAGACAATTGTGGGTAAAATTATATCCCCCAAATAAAATACGTTGAAGTCCTAACCCTCAGTACCTCAGAATGTGACCTTATTTGGAAAGAGGGTCTTTTTTATATATTTTATTGATTTTTGAAAGGAAAGGAGAAGGGGAGAGAGAAACATCAATGATAAGAGAGAATCATTGATTGGCTGCCTCCTGCACGCCCCCCCCACTGGGGATCAAGCCTGCAACCCAGGCATGTGCCCTTGGCTGGAATCGAACCCGGGACCCCTCAGTCCGCAGGCTGACGCTCTATCCATTGAGCCAAACCAGCTAGGGTGGAAAGAGGGTCTTTATCGAAGTAATCAAGCTAAAATGAGTTTATTAGGGTGGGTCCTAATCCACTGTGACTGGTGTCTTTATAAAAAAGGGAAATTTAAACACAGAGACAGACACACACACAGAGAGAAGACAATGTGAAGACACACAAGGAAAAGATGGCCATGTGACTGGAGTGATGCATCTATACGCCGAGAAATGCCGAGACCACCAGAAACCAGGAGAGAGGCATGAGACAGCTCCTTCCCTAACACCTTCAAAAGGAGCATAGATAGCCCTGTTGACACTTGGATTTTGGACTCATAGTCAAGTGTCACCCATAACTGATTTGAGTGATTTAGATGATGATATCTGAGACTCTGAGTTTATGATTTTAGACTTAAGAGTTGATGCTGGAATGATTAAGACTTTAGGGGACATTGGGATGTAATTAGTGTATTTTCAACATGGGAAGAATATTAATTTGGGGGATTCAGAGGGCAAGCTCTGATGGGTTGAATTGTGTCCCCCCACAAAAAAGATATGTGGAAGTCTTAACCCCTAATACCTCAGAATATGACCGTATTTGGGAATAGGGTCTTTATAAAGGTAATCAGGTTAAAATGAGGTCATGAGGGTGGGCCCTAATCTAATATAGCTGGTATCCTTATAAAAAAAAGAGCCCAGAAATCGATACTCATAGAGGGAAGATGATGAGAAAACACAATAGAGTGATGCATTTATAACCCAAGGAATGCCAAAGATTGCCAGCAAACACCAGAAGCTATAAGATGCAAGGAAGGATTCTCCCTCCTATCATCCAGAGAGAACATGACCCTGCTAACACCTTGATTTCAGAATTCTAGCCTAAAGAAGTAGGAGACAGTAAATTTCTGTGGTTTTAAGTCAGCCAGTTATTGGTACTTTGTTAAAGCAGCCCGAGGAAACTAAGACAGAACCATTTCCATTCCCAGCTGCTGAGTGCTCTGGGATATCTTAAGTGCATGCTGATATAATCCCTGATTGGTCTGAGATTCTTCAGTCCCTTTCACCTCTGTGATTATTAGTGTTTCCCCAATCAAATGTGGTTTCTTTTCTAATGAACAAATGGAAAACAATTAGCTGGACCCAGTTCTCTATTATGTCCTATTAACAGGGTATGAAGTTCCCAAACCAGAGGTCATCTTCAAGTTGGAGCAAGGAGAGGAGCCATGGATATTAGAGGGAGAAACCCCACATCAGAGTTGTTCAGGTCAGTGAGTGTGATCCAGGCAGAAAGGAGACATGGAAATACTTTTTTCCCCCAGAGAGATTGGTGTCTTTGCTGCCTTCTTGAAGGTTTAAATTTTAGAAACTGCTTGAAAATAAATAACGTAGGCCTCTCAGGTACCAAATTGCTCTGTCTTTATTTTCTGTACTGTCATCAGCTGTTTTCTTTGGGGTTTCCTCCAGGAGAATTGCTGCAATTCCCATATTTTGTATCATATGCCAGCCTTCTTCACTATGGATGTTGCTTTCTTGGATATTCTTTTCTTCCATCACATTTTATGCTTCATTATTTAACCCCAACCCTAGGGTCTTAGAATCTTATCATATACATTCAGTTTTAATGGATTTAGTTGGTTGCCTCACTCCTATTTTTCCCAGTACCCTTTTATTTCCTCCTTCTTTCACTTTTGTCTTCTCATTCTAAGATACCAATAAACTGTCACCTGCAACCAGCCTCACCTCCTCTCTTTGTATTTATCACCTGCAGATTCCTCACTCACCTCCACCTCACCTACTCCATGCCTCTCTTCCATATTCTGACTGTGGTTAGTCACATATCATTTTTTTTCTTTTAAAATCTACTTTTTTTCTTTTCATTGAATTTATTGGGGTGACACTGGTTAACAAAATTATACAGATTTCAGGTGCACAATTCCACAACACATCATCTGTATACTATGTTGTTTGTTCACCACCCCAAGTCAGGTCTCCTTCCATCACCATTTATCCCCCCTATACGCTCTTCTACCTCTCTCCCACCCCACCCCCAGCAATAACCACACTGTTGTCCATATCCATGAGCTTTTTCTCGCTTTTTTATTTTTGCTCAATTCTTCCATCCCCAACCCTCCTCCCAACAACTATCAGCCTGCTCTTTATCTATGAATGTGTCTCTATTTTACTTGTTAGTTCATTTTGTTCATTAGATTCCACTTATTAAAGTATAATTTACATACACTAAAGTGTATCCATTTTAAGTATATAGCTTGATGAGTTTTGACAAGGTACACACTAGTATAACCACTACCCCTATCATAATATATAACATTCCATCACACAGAAATGCTCCTTCATGTCCCTTGTAGTCAATGCTTAATCACCACTTCAGCCCCAGGCAACTATTTTTTAAATAAATTTTTAATATATTTTTATTGATTTCAGAGAGAGAGAGAGAGAGAAACATCAATGATGAGATAATCATTGATTGGCTACCTCCTGCACGCCCCCTTACTGGGGATCGAGCCCGCAACCCAGGCATGTGCCCCCGACCAGAACCAAACCCAGGACCCCTCAGTCCTCAGGCCGACACTCTATCCATTGAGCCAAACCATCCGAGGCCCCAGGCAACTATTGACGTGCATTTTGTCACTATAGGAGATATTTGTCTTTATTAATGTTTATATCAACGGGAATTATACTGTCTGCTCTTTTCATTCAGCATAATGATTTTGTGTTTTACCCATGTTATTGAGTATATCACTAGTTTGTTCCTTTAAGATGCTGACTACTACTCCATGGTATAAATATATGGTAATTTGTTTATATCCCTGTTGATGACAGGGAGTTATTATTTGGTTATTATGAGCTGCAGTGATCATTTTAGTGTATCTTTGTGTGAACATATGTTTCTATTTCTCTTGGGTAAATACCTAGGAGTGGAGTTGCCAGGTTATAAAATAGATATACGCTTATCTTTATAAGAAATTGCTAAACTGTCTTCCAAAGTGGCTGTGCCATTTTACATTTCCAACAACAAAAACTGAGAATTCTTCTTGCACCACATCCTCGCCAACACTTGCTGTCATCAGTCTCTTTAATTTTTACTATTGTAGTAGATATGTAATGGTATCTCATTATGATTTTAAGTTGCATTCCTCTGGTGAGTAATGATGTTAAATATCTTTTCATGTGCTATTGACCATTTGTACATTTTTGTGTGAAGTGTTTATTTACATATCTTCCTCATTTTATTGGGTTGTTTGTCTTCTAGGTTCCTTGTAAGTAAATACTCAGCACTTTAAGGACAGTTTTATTCTTTCTGTCCAATCTTTTTATCTATTTTCCTTTCCTTATTTCACTGTCTAAGACCTTCAGTTTGATGTTGAATAGAAGTGTGAGTGTGGGCATGCTTGCCTTGTTCCTGATATTAGGAGCAAAAAATTCATATCATTAAGTATGATGTTAGCTGTAGTTTTTTTAAGCTACCCTTTATCAGGTTACATAAGTTCCTTTCTAATCCTAGCTGGTTAAAGAGGTTTTTAAAAAAAATCATAGTTAAGTGTTGAATTTTGTCAAATGCTTTAGTGATCATATGAGTTATTGTTTTTATTTTGTTAATATGGTAAATTTATTGATTGATTTCAAATGTTAAATTAACCTTGTATTTCTGAGACAAATACTGGTGATTATTATATACATTACCCTTATTATATATTGTTGGATTCTATTTTTATATTTTGTTTAAAAATATTTGCATGAGTGATACCGGTTTGTAGTTTTCTTTTTTTTTGCAATGTCTTTGTCAGATTTTGATATTAGGGTTACACTTGGCCGCATAATATGAGTTGTGAATGAGTTTTCTTCTCTATTTTCTGAAATAGTTTGTGTAAGATTGTTATTTCTTTTTATGCTGTTTCACAGAATTCACCAGCAAGACTTTCTGGGCCTGGAGTTTGCCAGATGGGAAAGTTTTAATAACTAGTTCAATTTCTTTAATATACATAGGGCTCTTTCAATTTTCTGTTTCATCTTTTGTCATACATAATAAGTTGTGGTTTTTCTCAAGGAATTGGTTTCCTTTATTTTGTCTAATTTCATTCTGTTGTATTCTAAGAATACACTCTGTATGATTTCAGCAAATGTTCTATCTTTGGGAATGTTCCATGTGTCTCTGAAAAGAGCGTATATCCGACTCTTGATGGGAGTTGTGTTTAATAGAAAACAATTACACGTGATGGAGAGTTGGAGTATAGACATCCATTTATTGTTTGTATAGGTCAAGATGGCTATCACCGCAATAATTTTCCTAGAGGCATAATGACTTGACTTACATACATTGTGAAATGATTACCACAATAAATTTAGTTAACACCTATATCATATAGATATCAAAAATAAAAAATGTTCTTGTCCTTGTGATGAGAACTTTTAGGATATACTCCCTCAGCAAGTGAAATTGTTTTTTGATCTCATGAATTTGGTATTGTTGCTAATAGCAAGAAGCAATAAGATCAGTGAGGATTTAGAATCTAAAGCTAATGAGGACTTAGGCTCTGAGTCACCCCCTCCCAGCCTAGGCTCTCCATCAATATTTTTCCTGAAAATCCTTGTCTTTTTAATCTTCAGTCCACCCTACTTGATATTCAAGCCTCCTACCCAAATTGAGCTATAACCATGTTTTATGACAAATTATATGTATAAAACCATTCTGAGCTTTCCTTTCCTTATCTACAATAGATACATAATAATAGAAAATAGAACTTTGGAAAGGATTAAATGAGTTCATATTTATATCTTAACAATGCCTGGAACATCATAAGTGTCGTGCAAGAGCTTGACACATAGTAAGTGCTATATATGTATTTCCTGTAATTATTTTCATTGTCATCATTGGATTCGCTGGTTTCCCTGTGTTCAATTTGAATTAGCTTATATGTATCTTTTAATCTTCTGCTATCTATTTGTGTCGATTTTACTTTTTTTTCTCTTTTTAGATGGGAAGTTTGGGATTAAGACCTCACAAAAAAGAATTTCTGGGAAAGCTTCATTTCATAGTGAAATGGAGGGTGAAGATATAAGAGGCGATTCATTGTATTCCATTTTAGAACTGTGGAAAGATACTGAACAGATAAAAAGATATCAGGAAAAACACAGCAAAACTGTGAGTCATGCTACATTCGTAAATAAGAAACTATTGAATACGGAGTGGCATTATGAATATAAAGACAGCAGAAAATTTGTTTATCCAAGCCCAAATCATATTATTGCCTCACAGAAAAGACCCCATAAATGTGACTCATTTGAAAAGGGTTTTAAGCATGATTTAGATTTACATATTCATTCTAAAAACAAAGCAACAAAGAACTTTGATAAAATTAATAGACACAGTCAAAATTTCACCCAGAGTTCTTTTACTAACCATGAAAGTATGCATACAGGAGTGAAATTTTGTGAATGTAATCAGTGTGGGAAAGTCCTCAACCTCAAACAAGCACTCAGTCACAATCTGAAGTTTCCTGTTGGGGAAAAAGGAAATATGTGTACTGAATTTAGGAAGATACTGACCCAGAAGTCACACCTCTTTGCAACTCAGAGATTTCATACTATGGAAAAACCTCATGAACTTAGCAAATGTGCAAATGTTTTTACACAAAAGCCACTACTCAGCATATATTTGAGAGTTCATAGAGATGAAAAACTGTATATATGTACTGAATGTGGGAAGGCTTTCATCCAGAATTCAGAATTAATTATGCATGAGAAAACTCATACTAGAGAAAAACCCTATACATGCAGTGAATGTGGAAAATCATTTTTCCAGGTGTCATCTCTACTTAGGCACCAGACAACCCATACCGGAGAGAAACTCTATGAATGCAGTGAATGTGGGAAAGGTTTCTCCCTGAACTCAGCTCTCAGTGTTCATCAGAAAATTCATACTGGAGAGAGACACCACAAATGCAGTGAGTGTGGGAAAGCCTTTACCCAAAAATCAACACTCAGGATGCATCAGAGAATTCATACAGGAGAGAGATCCTATATTTGTACTGCATGTGGGCAGGCCTTCATCCAGAAGGCACACTTGATTGCACATCAAAGAATTCATACTGGAGAGAAGCCTTATGAATGCAGTGACTGTGAGAAATCTTTCCCTTCTAAGTCACAACTCCAGATGCATACACGAATTCATACAGGAGAGAAACCCTATATATGCACTGAGTGTGGGAAGGCCTTTACCAACAGGTCAAATCTCAATACTCACCAGAAATCTCATACTGGAGAGAAGTCTTATATATGTGCTGAATGTGGTAAAGCCTTCACTGACAGGTCAAATTTCAATAAACACCAGACAATTCATACTGGAGAAAAACCCTATGTTTGTGCTCATTGTGGGAGGGCTTTTTTCCAGAAGTCCGAATTAATTACACATCAGAGAATTCATACTACAGAGAAGCCTTATAAATGTCCTGACTGTGAGAAATCCTTCTCCAAGAAACCACATCTCAAAGTACATCAACGAATTCACACAGGAGAAAAACCATATATATGTGGAGAATGCGGGAAAGCCTTCACTGACAGATCAAATTTCAATAAACACCAGACAATTCATACTGGAGAAAAGCCCTATAAATGCAGTGACTGTGGAAAGGGCTTTACTCAGAAATCAGTTCTGAGTATGCATCGTAATATTCATACATGAAAGTAACCCTGTCTCTTAAAAATGAGAAAGCCTCATCACAGAAGTCAGGTATAAGGGTATGTTATAAAATTCATCCAAGACAGACCCTATATGAATATATGGCATAGTAAAAAGTATTCGTCAGGCTTTCTCACTTGAGGTAAAAAAAATTATTTAGATGATATCCTCTTAGAATGCATTGAATGAAGGGGAATTTTCATATTTGCACAGCCTCACAAAATACAGGGTGTCCCAAAAATGTATACACACTTTGAGATATAATTAGTGTTTATTAACATACAGTTCATCTCCAAAATTTAAATGAATCTATAGAAATGAGTGTGTATACATTTTGGGGACACCCTGTATAATAGAATTCATACTAGGAAAAATGATGTCAGTTTGATACATTAGGAAGAAAGCCTTCCTATTGTAAAGAAAGTATTATAAGGCAAATTGTTACCAAATTCTTTACAGATGGAGTGTGTAAAATTATGTAAATGTTAGTCATGTTTACTGTTATATTAAGCAATTTAAAGTGACAACAAAATGAAAAGCAGGACAACAAAATAACATATTTGATGTGTAGACCTACTCTCAGTTCTGTAGGTTGTGGCAGAACACATTGCACAGCAGGAGGAATCATTGAAGTTCATTTTTTAAATTTAATATAATTGCATCTATTACATATGTCTTCTATTGAATTTTCCTCTCCCATGAATTCACAGTTTTATGGTCATTGTGATTTTATATATACACTCATCTGAAGATATAATTTTACATGAACACACAAATGTAATCCTATCATTCATACTGGTTCCCATGACATTGTGTCTTTATCCTTTTTAATTGTGGAACAATGCAAAAATGCCACAGGTCTCTCCTGTCATTTTTTGCATGCTCCTTTGCAATGTTACTCTGTTTTTTCTCTTATTAAGAAGTACAGCTCCCTCTCTACTCCTTGACTCTTAACTTGGCCATGTGACTTGTTTTGGCCACTGTACATTAGCGAAGAGATTCAAGAAATGGCTGAAGAAGTGTGAAAAAAACTTACCTGAGGCTTACTCTCTTGCTACTCTTTGGAATTCTAAGCCTTTCATATGAAGAAGCTCAGATTACTCTGCTGGGGGATGAGAAACCAGATGGAGCAAAGATGAGCCAGCCTAGCTGAGGCCCTTCAGGTCAACTACCAGACATGTGAGTGTGGCCTTCCTTGGTCTCCAACCCCAACCAATCCAGCCCATATAAGAAGAGCCATACCGGTTATCCCAGCAAACATGGAGAACTGTGAGATAAATAAAATAATTATTGTCTTAAACTGCTAAGTTTTAGGGTACTTTGTTGCACAGCAAATGCTAATAATACTTAAAAGTGTATGATCGGCAGTGGGGGGCGGATATTGTACCAAAACACAAGACATGTAGCATTGACTTTGGACTTGGAGGAAAACTGTTAAGAAAGCCTGGGAAAGATGGCGTCCGATGTTATTTAGTAAAGAAAAAGCAAAACAGCCACCATGCTCTGTGGGAAAATAGAGAATGTATCAAATGAACTTGTGGATCTGGCTAAATAGATTTCCAACAGAATGCTGGAAGTTCGTTTATTTCTATGAGCTCATATAATAAGGTACAAAAGGAGATATGAACTAAGAGAATGACTATTCCATTTACAAGCAGAATTCAGAAGAAAAAACAACCCTCTACTTGCTGGGTTAGAAAATAACGTTCACATCTCCAGTCTCCAAAATACTTTCAAAGTGAAAATGGCCTCAGGGTAGAGATCAAGTCACGAGTGCAGATGTAAGACCCTTTGTAAAAATGCATGAAACATTTAAGTTGGTATTTGGGAGACCCTCTAAGCTAAGCTAAATGGCTTCTGTAGACTTCATGACATCGTCCCCAGTAGCCTGACACGTTGCTCAAAGTAGAGAAATACAAACCAGATTCATAGGAAACATTTAAAGTTTTTAATAGAGTTTTACTAGTGAAACTGCCTCCAAGCTGGACTTAAAGGGACTGAAACAATCCAGAATGAAAAGTGGTGCCTGGACTCTCCTCTCTAGCTTCTATGAATAGAAATGAAGCTGAGAAAGTTACTCGGCTGCAGACATGGGCCATTTCTAATGGGAAAAGAAGGAGGTCTCAGAGAGGAGACCCAAGAACAATATATTAAAATGGACTGGGGAGCCATTCCCAGATGAACTGTGACCTAATAAAAAACATCTACCCCTGAAGCAGGAAGACTTGAAAACATTTGTTCTGTGGGATTTCAAGAATTGTTATGGAACAGTGACAGATATGTGCCTCTTCTTTCTCCCCTTTTTGAATTGGAGTGTTTATTGTAGTTAATTCTGTTCCTATGTCACCATTATAGTGTGTGTGTGTGTGTGTGTGTGTGTGTGTGTGTGTGTGTGTGTATTGGGGGGGGGTCGTTCATATAACTTGTTATTTAGCTCACAGGTCTCTAGATTAAGAAGCTGCACTCAGAGAGCCTCGGCCACCTCTGAACCTGATACAGAAGACTTGAGGTCCTGGATTTGAACATCGTGCCACAATTTGGGATGAGACATTTGGAGGTCTTGGAATGGGGTGAACATATTGTTGCATGGTATGGAATGTAAATAAAATTATTTTTGACCAGAAAATAGACTATGTTAGCTTGAAAAACACTACAAATTTCTTGCACCCCTACATCTATGCCCCCTTGTAATCTTTATTTCTCTTTGTGTTTTAGTTGGGATAATTTCTATTAACCTATCGTCAAGTTCACTGATTCTAACCCCTGTCCTGGCTCTGTTAAGTCTACTGGGTGAGCTCATTGAAGGCATTCTTCATCTCAGTTATGTTATCTGCTGAAATTTCCCATCTGTTCATGTCTGTTGTTCACATTTTCCACTATTTTCTTTAACATATTAAATCATCATTATTTTAAATTTCCTGTTTGATAATTCCAACAACTGTGTCACCTGAGTCTGACTCTGTTGATTGCTTTGTCTCTTGACAGAGTACCACAAAGTAGGTGGCTTAAAAAAACAGAAATTTATTGTCTCACAGTTCGGGAGGCCAGAAGTCTGAAATCAAGGTGTCAGGAACTCTTTCCTGCATCTCTTCAAGTTTTCAGTAGCCTCAGGCATTTCTTGGCTTGTAGATGCATTACTTCAGTCACATGGTCATTTTCTCCCTATGTGTCTTCACATCGTGTTCCCTCTCTATGTCTGTCTGTGTTCGACTTCCCCCTTTTTATAAGGATACCAGTCACATTAGATTAGGCCCACCCTGATGGCGATATTTTAATTTGATTACTCTGCAAAGATTTTCTTTCTGAATAAGGTCATATTCTGATGTACTGGGGGTTAGGATTTCGACATATCTTTTGTGGGGGGACATAATTCAACCCATATAATAAATGAATACATTTATCTGTATAAAGTACTTAGAACTATGTATGGAAAGAAGTTCTTGATGAATATTAGATACATCCCACTTCCTGAGGCTGCCTAGGTCCCCCTACAACTCTCTGTACTTGGGCAGGATTTGAGACCTTTGTTTGTGGTATCTTAACCTCATCCAACTACCTAAAGAAAATGTTTGGAATAACAGGAAAAGCAGGCCTAGTACCAAGACTTGTGCTACCAACATTTGAGAAGAATTTATTCATAGAGGACAGTGGGAAGGAGCAGCCAGAGGTTCATTTATATGAGGATGGAAAACTGGTTCTTGGATTTTGTGACAAGGAGGTCAGTATTGTCTTTGGTGAACATTATTTAAGTGAATTTAACTAAAGAAAACAACAGCAAAGTTGAAGGGATTTCTGAGCTCAGGTAGTTACTTCATCAAACTTTTCTGATAGAAAAAAATATTAGGTATTGCTCTATTGAAAATGTGTAATATCTCATTATTCTTTTTAAAAATATGTATTTTTATTGATTTCAGAGATGAAAGGAGAGAGAGAGAGAAATAGAAGTATCAATGATGAGAGAGAATAACTGATTGGCTGCCTCCTGCATGTCCACAACTGGAGATCAAGACCACAGCCCAGGCATGTGCCCTGACCTGGAATTGAACCATGACCTCCAGGTTCATAGGTCAATGCTCAACCACTGATCCATGAGGGCTGGGTAGTTTTTACATTTTTAAATGGTTGATAAATGAAGAGTAATATTCCATGACATGTAAAAAATTATATGAAATTCAAATTTCAGTACAATAAAGTTTTATTGGAACAGAGCCATAGATAGAAAGCAGGCTGACAGCTGTCAGGGTGGGGTAGGTGGAGGGATTGAGAAAATAAGAAAAAAGAAAAAACTCATGGACCAGGACAACAGTGTGGTGATTTCCCTGAGGGCGGGGGAGAGGTGGGCAGAAATCATATCTCATTATACATCAAATAGGGCAGGGAGGTGGAGGAGGGTATAGGGAGGATAAATAGTGATGGACTTGATTTGGGGTGGTGAACAATAAGTGTACAGATGATGTATTGTAGAATTGTATACTTGAAACCTATAAAACTTTGTTAACCAGTGTTATCCCATTAAATTCAGTAAAAGGGGAAAAACACTACATCAAAAATAATGAACATTTAAAAAAATGTATCCATAGGAAAAAAATTAAAATGTAAAGAAATGAGCTATCACCCCCCATAAGTTTCCTTATGCCCCTTTGTCATCCAACCTCCCTCCCCACACCCTTCCCCCATCCATAGGCAACCACTGATCTGTTTTGGGTTGTTATGGATTAGTTTGCATTTTCTGCAATTTTATATAAATGGAATTATACCATAGGCATTCTTGGTGGGTATTTTTTTCCTTCTTTTATTCAGCATTATTACTTTGTGATTCATTTGTGATGTTACATGTACCTGTATTTCTTTTTATTGATAGATGGTATTTCATTGCATAGATATACCAAATTTGTTTATCCATTCATGTGTTGATAAAAATCTATATTGTTCCTAGTTTTTGGATGTTACAAATAAAACTGATATGAACATTTATATACAAGTCTTTGTGTGGACGTAGTTTCATTTCTCCTGTGTAAATACCTAGGAATGGTTTGATCATATGGTGAGTATATATTTAAATATGTAAGAAACTACCAAACTGTTTTTCCAAAGTGGTGTGCCTTTTACATTCCCGCCAGCAGTATGTAAGTGTCCATTCGCTTCATTTCTTTGCCCTTGTAATTTTAGCCATTTCAGTAAGAGTGAAGTGGTATCCCACTGTGGTTTCAATTTATACTTTCCTAAGAACTAATGCTGTTGAGTATCTTGTGCTTATTTGCCATCTGTATATCATCTTGATCGATGTATCTTTTAAAATATTTTAAACTGGGCTGTTTGTCTTATCTGTGTCCCAGGAAGCAAGAGTTCAAGATTAACCTTACATGGCAAGATCTGACTTGCCCCACCCCACTTCAGGATGATCTTTGATGGCCCTGAAACCCCAGGAATATTCTTTATCAGCAGGAAAATGAAATGCTTCATTTCTAGTGCCCTTAGGCATTCTCTCAGCAGACTGCACAAGGAGCAAGGAAGTTAACCCCACATTTCCCCCCAAACTTTCTTCTCCATGGAAAGGCATAAATAATGTGGGGCAAAAGTAGGTTTACAGTTGTGAGTACACAACTTTATTCTTGTATTATTAATTACTAGGGGCCCGGTGCACGAAATTCGTGCACTGGGTGGGGGGGGGGGGGGGGGGCCCCGGCCCGGCCCC